AGTCACAAAAAAAAAGTTTCAGAAAAAAAAAAATCCATTCGATGACTGCAGTACGATATATATCCCCAGCTAGGTGCTACTTTATAGGATGCCTAAAGTTAGACTTGTGTTCATGGAAATGTATATGTCAGCTGTGTTTGCTATGAAAATATTTAGATTAATTAAGATCTTTAGTAATTCAATAAAAAATGGGGGGCAAACAATATAGAAAGTAAACATAGATACCAGAGACAGTGTGGGAAGAGAGTGGGAGATGGCAGAGGGTAAGACATAGGGAATCAAGGATGGAGGGGGAAAAAAGCAAAAAATACAGGAAACAAGAAATGGAAAATTATTTGTTGACAATAACATGTATGTTGATGTGCTTGATTGAGACAATATACAGTGTACTCTGGATGGAAAATCTCATTTTGTATGCTGTAATGATGTACAGTGGATGAACGTAAATAAATAAATTTAAATAAAAAAATTTTACTAAAATAAAATAGTAAATCATGTCTAGAGTTACTCAAGACCTGGATTCCTCATTTCAAGGTCCAAGGTGTTACTTCTCAAACGAGATGCATTGCTCTGCATTTCTTCCCAGGCCCATATAGATGTCAGGAACCCTGACTCCTCATCTACATTTTATTTATATCCTTATAAATTAGTATATGTAATCTAGACGCCAACAATAAGATTTCTTATTGGGAAACTGAGACAACCAGAGTTTCAGACACCAAATGAGAAAAGAAGAGAAAAATTCAGTACTTAGAGGGATTTCTTGGATTTATTAGGAACTGTATACAGATCAATTTTTTTCTTTTTTCTTAAGAGAGACTTTTACTATAGGGTGTGTGCTTTCGCTAGAGAGACAAAAAAAAAAAAAAAAAGACAGAGACAGAAAGTGAGAAGTCATCCCCCAGGGGAGATGGTCATGCCACAATCCCTCTTCCTCCATTCTCCTGTTTAGGCACGCATTTATACGTGCCTGGTAGGAGTTTTAAGACACTGAGTCTGGAACATGAACCATGGTCAACTACATCGGAGTCTAGCAATGTAACCATTATACCATCTGCTTGTCCCAGAAGCTATTTTTCTTAAAAGATTAATGGGAAAGTACCAGATCTGCTTGACTCCCAACATCTTTTGAAAGCCCTTTCTCCCACATTAGGTCTCTTAAGTTCCATAATATCCAGCAAAATTTTCAGTTCCTTGTAACAATATCTCTGATCTCTTAAGTATCACAATGTCTCCAACAGCTCTATGTGGCAAGAGACACCAGTCTATGTGGCAAGCAGTCCTAACCAGGAGGAATCTGGCACCTATACTTTTTCCTAGGGTTGCTGTTAGGAAATACCACCATTTATATGGCTTTAAAAACAGAAACCTGGAACCAGCAGTGGAATAATGGCTATGTCACTGGACTCCCATGTAGTTGACTGCTGTTCAAGTCCTGGACCCAGTGGCTTAAACTCATGCCAGGTCATGCCAGGCATACGTATGTGCGTGCTCAAGATCCCGAGAGGAAAATGGAGGAGAAGCGATTGCAGCATGGCCATTCCCCCAGGGGGGGAGGTGATTTCTCATTTTCTGTCTCTCTGTTTTTCTCTGTCTTTCTGACAAGCACAGGTGCCCTATAGCAAAAACCTTTCCAAAAAATATAATGAAAAAACAACAGAAACTTTTTTATTCCACAATTCTGGAGGGTACAATTGTGAAGTTAGAGGGCCAGGCATCCTCTGAGACTGTATAAACTCTGTCCTTGTTTCTTGTCAGCTTGGGATTTTGGTATTGACTCCTTAGCAGTTTTTGGTTTACAGCTACCTCGTGCCAATTTCTGGTTGGTCACACAGCATTTTTCCATTTTTATAAGGACACTGATTATGTTGGGTTTCACACCACCTCACTGATCTCCTGTTAATTAATTACATCTGGAAAGACCCTATTTCCATGATTCCAGTTACCAGAATTAGGTCTTCAACATATCTTCAGTGGTCAGGGAGGGACATGACTGTAGCCTCACCCAACATCAGAAGCAACAAAGGAGTGAGGCCATAATGATATGTGGCAGTCATAGGACATAGAACTCCTGCCTTGGTCATACTCTCATTTGTGTGTATGGTGGTACAGCTTGCAATGACTGAGTCAGACACCATAAGAGTCCTGCATTTTTAAAAAAATTAATTGTTATAGGGAACCAGCAGTTAGCTTAATGGCTATGTCGCTGGACTCCCACGTAGTCGACCGCAGTTCGCGTCCCAGACCCTGTGGCTTAAAACTCACGCCGGGCGCATGTGCATGCATGCCCAAGATCCCGATAGGAGAATGGAGGAGAAGGGATTGCGGCGTGACCATCCCCCCTGGGGGGTGATTTCTCGCTTTCTATGTCTCTGTCTGTCTGTCTAGCGAGCGCACGCGCCCTATAGCAAAACCCTCTCCCCCTCCAAAAAAAAAAGAAAAATTAATTGTTATATTCAAACTAAGTATTACCATCACAACATGTATTCAGTATAAAAAATTACATAAGTACTATTTACTTATTTTTTATACAAAATCTTTGAACCCATTGTATATTTTATAAAGTACATCTCTATTAGGATTAGATATGTTTTAAATTATCAAGTTGGGAAAATGTTTTTCTTAAAATTGATGAGCTAGGAGCCAGGAGGTGGTATAGTAATTAAGTGCCACTTTAGTGGCATAGTGCTGGTCTCTCATATAATTGACCCTGGTTCGAGTCTCAGGCATGGTGGCTTGAAAACAAAACCAGCATGTGTGGTGTGTGCCCAATATCCCAGGAAGAGGATGGAGGAGAAGGGATTGCAGTGTGGCCATCTTCCCTGTGGTATTGTAAAAATAAAATCCAACTGTGCCTGTTTAGCTCTGTAAAGACAACATTTAACTTTTGCCTTTTTGCTTCTGTACTAAGCAGATGCCGCCTTTATGATAAAAGCTCTGAGTTATGCAAACCCCAAGGACTTGCTCAGCTCCTTGCAGGCCAGCTCAGCTCCATGCAAGAAGTCAGGTACCTTATCTTACTTCCTCATTCTTTCCTCCCCTCACCCCACCGATGTCTATATTACCTGAATGCCCCTTTGTTCGGGGCTTCACTCGCCATCATATCTTACATGACTGGGAATGAAATCCTAGCGCGCTAGAAATAAAGCTTCTTGCACTTTGCATCAAGAACCGACTTTTGTGGTTGATTGGGGTCGCCGTAGCACTCCCTGGACAAGGAGGATCAGCCAGTTACCGGCAGGAACCTTTCAGTATGATTTATAATTTTTCCTTTTATTGTCTCTGTCTCTCTCCAGTGGCTGCATGTGCCTTATGACATAAACCTTGGGAAAAAAATGATGGGCTGTATTTTTAGAGCAGTTTTTAGTTAACAGGAAAATTAGCAGTGGCCCCTCCCTTAGCTCTGCCTCACAGACCTATGCCCTCCCTTTGAGCTCTCTCAAATCCCAGGGTGGTGCCAGTGACAATTCTCTGTGGCGAGGGACACCTCACTAGCAGTTGGTGTGGCATGGGCATGGCACTTCTCAAGGGCCATGAGTTCAGTACCTGAAAAAGGGGCATTTGGTTACCATTGCTCCTTGCATGACTCTGGATGTGGGCATGGACCACTTGGGCTTCATCTTCAGTCCACCTGGAGATCTTCGCACCCCAGGAAGTGACCATGGCACTCTCCTTCCACAGCCACCCATGCCACCCCTCCTGATGAAGCGGCAGAGAGTTCTACCTTCAGGAGGTGAGTATTTTTGAGGTTCAGACACTACCACTACAGCTGCCCTGCATGCTCATTCAGGTCTCCCAGCAAGCATCAAGGTCACATTCACAGGATGAGCAGTTGGCATAATGGCTATGTCGCTGGACTCCCATGTAGTCAACCACAGTTGGCATCCTGGACCCAGTGGCTTAAACTCACACCAGGACTGTGTGTGTGCATGCTCAAGATCCTGAGAGGAGAATGGAAGTAAATGAATTGCAGTGTGGGCATCCCCCCCCAAGGGGGGTTATTTCTCCTTTCTGTCCCTCTGTCTCTCTCTCTGTCTTTCTGGCAAGCATTCGTGCCCTATAGCAAAACCTCTCTAAAAAAAAAAATAATAATAAAATAAAAAAATAAAAAAAGTCACATTCCATCCCTATGCAGCCAGAAGAGGGAGAAGCACGAGTGGCCTGATCCTCTGAGAAGTTAGTGTAGCTGCACACCTCCTTTCTGACCATGGACATTCCAGATACCACAGCCACCACAGACATGACAGACACCACAGCCCATCCCCCAGCTCATGACACCAGAGCCCTCCCCAACAGGAACCATCAGTGCTGCAAACTTCTGTCTGTCTATCTCCCAGGAACAGGGTTGTCATGATGAAAAAGTGGGCTGTGATACAACTTGGATTCAATTTAATGTCTGAAAATTGCAGCCACTAAATGAAAAGGAAACTTCAGGTGGAGACAACCCAAATGAAAGTTAGAAGCTGCTTTGTTCCTGTGAACAATTGTACAAGCAATCACATTGGCTCCTAAAAATAATCCATACCACAGGACTGCAGACAAGGCTGGTGAGATCAGTCGGCCACCATCTCTCTTAATCATTATTTCATCCCATCACCACGTTTCCAGGGAGAACTAGACAAATACTCATCAGAAAGATGGATTTTGTGTGTGGAAGCAAATTAACAGAGCAAGCTTTTAGGAAAAGACAAACTGGGGCTGCCTTATGTTGGTGACACTCTGAGACTGCTCTCTTCTGGGAGTGTGTGGCCTCTCCCAACCATTTAGAGTGCTGTCTGCCCACTCTCCTGGAGCTGGGACTCCAGAGAACCTGTCCAGGGAAGGCCACTGACCCCTGTGCCTGAGCCTGGCACCTCACAGTCCAGACATGCCTTCACCCAGGAAGACAGGTCGCCCAGAGCAATCATGGTCTCTTTGTCTACATTCTAACTTTTTCTAAAAAAGACTTATTTATTTAATTTTATTTATCATTATCATGATCATTATTTTAATTCACCAGAGAGTGACAGAGGGAGAGAGGGAAAGTGAGAAAGCAAACCTCCAGATACAGAACTGAAACTGTGGTCAGCCATGTGGGAGTCCCACACCTCAATCACCATACCACCTGCTGATCCCTACACATCCCATTTTAATTACCATCTTACAACAGCTAACATGGAGATTAAGACTGTCACCTGCACTGTTGTGCCACTAGCCAGAGCTCTGGGACTTTGTAATTTACTAGCACAAAATCAAGGTAGCATAGAAAGAACACAGAAAAATATTCCAAATGCACTTGGCTATCTTGATGATGATCCTTTAAACATTTTATATTTTACTGCCTCTCTATCTGGTCTTCATAAAGAGAAAAAGTGATTTTGAAGCACTGAGCAAAGAATTATTTAAAATGGGCTTTAAAATTTTTGCTAGAGGGTGCATGAGAGAGGGCAAGAAAGAGAGAAGCCCTCCTACTGGAATGACCACACTGCAATACTGTCTCCATTTCTCCTTTTGGGATATGGGCACATGTGTTTGCACACACCCACCCAGGGTGTTTTCCAAACTGCCAGGTCTGGCAAGGAAATGCATTCATGATTCACGGGGTGTATAGCTTTCTTATCAATGAAAGAAAAGTGAAATCATGTAGATAAAAGTAGACAGTACAGTATTACCTTCACTGATATTGGATGGATGTCTAAAGTCCTCCAAGGAACTGCTTTGAGCTACTTTTGAGCGAGGCACAGCCAGTGAGTTTCTTCATAGTGGGGAGGGCAGCACTAACACCCACACACTTTCTTGATGGTGGACACCTCAGGACTGTGCTAAGGTGTTTAGTATTTGCAGTAAGTTTTTCATATTCTGCATGTGCCCTCAGTGAGCAGGAGACAGTTAAGGAAAAATAGAAATGAATAACATGGATGAGGCACTTACTTATATATCACAGTCTGTCCTGGAAGATGATGCCAAAGTAATAAATTAAGAAACTGAGAGAGTCAGGACCAGCAGTTAGTGTAATGGCTATGTCACTAGACTCCCACATAGTCGACCACGGTTTGAGTCCTGGATCCGGTGGCTTAAACTCACGCCAGGCGTGTATTGAGGCGTGCCCATTCTCCCAAAAGGAGAATGGAGGAGCAAAGATTATGATGTGGCCATCCGCCCTGGGGGGTGATTTCTCACTTTCTATCTCTCTGTCTCTCTCTGTCTGTCTGGTGAGCGCATGCACCCTATAGCAAAAACCTCTCCAAAAAAAAGAAAAGAAGAAAAAGAAGTTGAGAGAGCCACAGGTGGACTCAACTGGGCCAGGTAGACTGCTTGAAAGGAAAGGTGATTTATTCAGTACTCAGAACTTAACTGCAGGAACTATGGAATGGGTGAAGTAAAGGTGAGCTTGAGAAACTTTCAAATGACAAACTAAACATGCAAATCCCCAGGCACAGAGCACAAAATGACAGTCATGAGTTGTGAAGGTCAGGGGTTTGCTTTAGCAGAACACAAACACTTGAGTCATTGCTTCCTATAACAATTGACTTATTTATGGTAAAGAATTCTTTCTTTCTTTAATTCCTTCATTATTATTATTTTTTAATGTGGCCAGATAGAGACAGAGAGAGAGAAATGGAATGTGAGAAAGCAAGCTGCCAGTTCTGGGCCAACCGTGGTTGGCCATGTGGGAATCCAGTGCCTTTAACCACCATGCCACCTACCAGCCATTCTAAAACAATTTATTAATGGAAAAATAACAGGTAGCTGTAATATTTATTTACTGATTTTACTATTTTTCTATAAGGCCACTGTACTCTCTGAAGAGAGACAGTGAAGAGGGAAAGTGACAAGTCACCCCCTCCCACCCCCCCAGGGAAGATGGCTATGCAGCAATTCCTTCTTCTCCACTCTCCTCTCAGGATTTTGGTCATGTACACACTCGTGCCTAGTGTATTTTTCAAGGTGTTGGGTATAGGACTTGAAGTGCACAGTTAGCCATATGGGATCCTGTGCCTTAACCACCAGATCACCTGCTGCCCCAGTTTATTTATTTATTTACTTACAAATTTTTGCTATCGGGTGTATGCATTAACTGCAAAGAGAGACAGACAGGGAGAGAGGGAAAGTGAGAAGTCATTCCCCAGGGAAGAAAGCTACACTGTAATCCCTTCTCCATTCTTTCAGGATTTGGGACACACATACACACACACACACACACACACAGATACAGACACACACACACGACCAATATATATTGATAGTTCTTCAATAACACTTAAATAGAGAGGACAGCATTAGGAAATCCAGTCAAGTCATGTGATTCAGGGCAAACAATTCAGCCAAGTCACAAGACAAAACAGTTTAGGCCTAGATTGTCATTTGGAGATTGTCCTGCACTGGTACATGTAGCTCCTATTAATAATGGTCCTAGGGGTCCATAAAACCTGGAAAAGTTTTTTTCTCTACCCTTAAGCAAATTGAGTCCAAACAACAAAAATAGGTTTTGAGGGCCTTGTGATAGAGACAAGGTCCTATTAAGTTGGATGATAATGCTGTCACCTGAACAGAGGTGATTTTAAAGGAGGATCATAAATGTATGGAGAGGACAACAAATATTTTTATATATGTGAGTGGGTAGTGCACACATTCACCATTTTTAAACATTTGAAAAATTAGATATAGGGAAATTATAGATATGTACATTATCTATACATTATATACATACAAATTATATGTATAAAAATTGTAAAATACAAAGTAGTTTTTATATTTTTAAATGTAACATGGAATAATTAGACAAAGGTAATTAATATGTATTTCACCTGAAATATTTCACATTTTCTGTGATGAGAACATTAGTATCATACTAATTGGAACTATTAGAATGAATAGTACTCGACCATGAGTTACATTCCCCATGATTATACTAACCTTTATAACCCTTCTAGAATTGGATGTATATTACATGTCTTGTTCCTATGTAGGTCCAGAAACCATGATTCTTATTTTCCCTGTGTTCTAGAACCTTAAAATACCAACTGGCAGAGCCAGCAGTGGCATGGTAACTAAGGTGCTCGATTACCACGTGACTGATCATGGTTCAAATCTCAGACCTTGCGGCTTGCTTCATCACTTCCCCAACCCCTATCTGGTGAGTGCATGCATTCTGTTGCAAATTAAACACATAATAATAATAATGATAAATAAAATTAAATAACAAGTTGTTTAAGGAAAAAAAAGGAATGACATCTGGCTTGTCAGTTTCTTAACCATTTGACAAATTTCATGCACTTTTTGGTCACTTTTCTATAGTTTTATGCACTGCTACATTAACTGTGAAAGAGTTTTTAAATACGTTTCTGTTGACAATAAAATGTTAAATTTAGATCTTCTAGTCAATTATTCACTACACTATGTCTTCTTACCAATTTGCAAATACATTTTTCTCTGCGGTTAAGTGTTTTTTGTAATTGCTTATTTTCCTTTGGAAATTCTTAACTTTTAAAAGAATATTACAAGACTACATTTTGAGATTTTAAAAATAATTCCTTTTTTGTTTTCTATTTAATTACTGTTATGTATGACTTTAACTATTTCTTCATTCTCTATGGAATTATTCTGGTCTTAATTTCTTAATACTCAACCTTAATTTAAATATTCTAAAGTTCTGACTTTTGTTTTTGAGAATTTTTAGCTTTAGAGCATGTGCGATTATTGGGGGAAGAGAGAGACATAGTGAGACATAAAGTGAGAAATAAATCCCCAGGATGAATGACCAGGCCACAATCCCTTGTTCTCCATTCTCCTGCCAGGATCTCATGGCATGCACCCACAAATGCCTGGCATAAATTTAAAGCCACCATGTTCAGGATTTGAACTACAGCTGGTGATGTGGAAATCCAGTGACAAAACTACTACATTATCTGCTGTTCCCCTGATTAGTTCATTAAGCATGTTTAACATGCTTAAACTAAAATTTTTATGCAATCAGAACTCTACTTTTTAAAATTCGTTAGTTATTGTCTTTTTTTTTTTTTTTTTTTTTTGCTATAGGGTGTGTGCTCTCACCACAGTGAAACAGAGGGAGAGAGAGGAAGAAAAGAAAGTGAGACATCAGCACTTGGGGGAATGGTCATGCTACAATCCCTTCTCCTCCATTCTGCTCTTGGGGTTATTGGACATGCAGGCACACCCACTTGGCATGTTCTTCAAACCACTTAATTCAGGTCTCAAATGATATAGTTTCATGGGATCCAGCTGCCTTAACCTCCATGCTGAGTTAGGGTTAGACCTAAGAATGGCCTAATCTCCATGATCTGTTTGGGTGGAAGACAGGTCAGCCCCCTGGATTATTTTACAAAGATGCCAACAAGAACAAAGGCATCCAACACATGGGAAGAGAATACACTGATGAGGTATTTGGAGAATCCCAGGAAGTACATCTCTGGATCAAAAATGATCTTCACTGGCATTAAAAAGAAGTCAGAGGGGCCAGCAGATAGCAAAGCAATTATATCGCTGGACTCCCACATGGCTCACAGTGGTTCAAGACCCAGACCTGGTGAGTGGTCATGAGACTGAGTTGGCTGCGGGACGTGGTGGCCCCGGGCCACTGGAGAAGAGCTTTGTTTCTGTCAGCCAGCATGGCTTCCAAAAGGAGAACTTTGAGCTTTAGTGAACGGTATCAAAAATTAGTAGATGAGGGAACCAGCAGTTAGCGTAATGGCTATGTCGCTGGACTCCCACGTAGTCGACCACGGTTCACGTCCCGGACCTGGGGGCTTAAAACTCACACCGGGTGCATGTGCATGCGTGCCCAAGATCCCGAGAGGAGAATGGAGGAGAAGGGATTGCGGCGTGACCATCCCCCCTGGGGGGTGATTTCTCGCTTTCTGTCTCTATGTCTCTCTCTGTCTGTCTAGTGAGCACACACGCCCTATAGCAGAAAAAAGTCTCCAAAAAAAGGAAAAGAGTAGATGATAACTACCGCAAAAAAATTGCATTTCTAGGAGCTAAAAAAAATATACAGAGTCAAGTCAGGAACCAAATGGTGCAGAATGGAAATGATACCCATGGTGAACACAAGAGATTTCAGAATGAACAATTTGAGTTGGATATGGAAGAGGCCATTCAAAAGGCAGAAGAAAATAAGAGATTGAGGAAACTCCAGCTTGAACAAGAAGAAAAATTGGCTATGGAACTGGCAAAACTAAAACATGAAAGTCTAAAGGATGAAAAGATGAGACAACAAGTAAGAGAAAACAGTATCGAGCTCAGAGAATTAGAGAAAAAGTTAAAAGCAGCTTACATGAATAAAGAAAGGGCAGCTCAGATTGCTGAAAAGATGCCATTAAATATGAGCAAATGAAACGTGATGCTGAAATAGCCAAAACCATGATGGAAGAACAGGAGCGAGTAATAAAGGAAGAGAGTGCCGCCGAAGACAAACGGAACGAAGTGAAGGCACAAAACTATTTTGACTTAGAGAAACAAGTTGAAGAGCCAGAGAGAAAAAAGCAAGAAACTTATGAACAGTTGTTGAAAGAAAAACTCATGATTGATGAAATTGTTAGGAAAATCTATGAAGAAGATCAACTGTAAGTTTATCCCAGTGTTCTTACAGACTGAACATTTACTGTAGATTTCTTGTAGGTTTTTTGTGATGCGGTAAAGTTCCTAGAACAGTGCCTGATACATAGTAAGGGCTCAATGATGTTAGCTGTGACTCATAAATTCAGATCAAGTCTTCCTTATTTTCGTTAGCATGATAATTAGTAAATTAATAATCTGCTAATAAGTAAATGCCTACTAAGTGACTGAATGACCTAAACCTTTGTTTTTCTTAAATATGTCCATATCGTGTGTCAGAAAGCATGTTTCCTGATGAATTTCCCTGGTAAACAGCTTCAGTGTAGAGTGCTGCAGCGCCGTGCTGATTAGGTGGTAGCCTTCAGGAACTGCGTTGCCTAAAGCCTCATTAATAGGCTAACAGAAAGGCATGGTGGTATTTTATTCAGAGAAAGTTCATACGTGGTATATCGGTTACATGAATGAATGAACAAACTAAATGGGGAGGATAGTTATCAGAATGAAATTATTTTTATATTATTATTTCTATTACTATAAAATGGTACCCACTGTTGTTTTTCAGAGAAAAACAACACAAATTAGAAAAAATGAATGCCACTCGAAGGTATATAGAAGAGTTTCAGAAAGAGCAGGCTCTCTGGAGAAAGAAGAAACGTGAGGAGATGGAAGAAGAAAACAGAAAAATCATAGAATTTGCCCACATACAGCAGCAAAGAGAAGAAAATCGGATGGCAAAAATTCAAGAAAATGAAGAAAAAAGACGCCAGCTTCAGGATGCGCTGGCTCAGAAATTGGAAGAAATGCTGCGGCAACGTGACGATCTGGAACAAGTACGACAGGAATTATATCAGGAGGAACAAGCTGAGTTACACGCCAGAAAACTAAAAGTAAGTTTCAGAAATTGAAAGAATTATTAACAGAGAGAAGAATATAATTTTAGACAAAGCAGTAGAAAGACAGTACATAGACTTAAACCCAGCCATGGTGATATTTCCTCTATACATAAATGGTGTAAACATTACAGTTAAAAGACAGATTTTTAAAGCTAAAAATCTAGACCCAGAGCCAGCAGATGGTGTGGCGTGGTGCTTAAGATATTAGATTCCCACATGACTTACGATGGTTAGAATCCCAGATCCAGAAGCTTGAAAATCATGCCGTGCTTGTGTGTGTGTGTGTGTGCGCGCGCGCACACACACAGTCCCGAGAGGAGAATGGAGAAGGGACTGTGATCAGGCCGTCCCCCCCGGGGGTGGAGGTGATTTCTTACTTCCTCTACCTCTCCCTCTCTGGCGAGTGCACTTGCCCTATGACAAAAATCAAACCAAAACAAGCTGGATCCAGACAGCAGTTCTCAAACTGCCTCATAAAAAGCATAACACTGGGACCAGCAGATGGTGTAATGGTTATGTCGCTGGACTCCCATGTGGTCAACCACAGTTTGAGTCCTGGATCTAGCGGCTTGAAACTCATGTCAGGTGTATACGCATGTGTGCTTAAAATCCCGAGAGAATGGAGGAAAAGGGATTGCTGTGTGGTCATCCCCTGTTTGGGGGTGATCCCTCCTTTTCCCTCTCTCTGTCTCTGTCTCTCTCTCTCTCTCCCACAAGCACATGCACCCTATGTCAAAGAAACTATTATTAAAATAATAATAATAAATAAGAGAACAGAGGCAGAATAACTCTAGGGATCATGCCGCTGGTGGTCTGTGGTTGAACTGCTTTAAACAAAGGTTGTCTGTTTATAGAGATTGCACCCTTGATCACTACCAACTAGACTAAACACTTAGCTGTCATTGTCCAACATTTATGTGAATTTCTTTCCTATTTTTCTTTCCTAGAGAGATTTTTGCTATAGGGCGTATGTGCTTGTGGGAAACACAGAGACAAAGAGATAAAATGATAAATCACCACCCGGGGGGGATGGCTATACTGTAATCCCTTCTTCTCCATTCTCCTCTCTGGATTTTTGGGCATGCTCACACATCCAGTGTGAGTTTCAATTTGGAGAATCCCAGGAAGTACATCTCTGGATCAAAAATGATCTTCACTGGCATTAAAAAGAAGTCAGAGGGGCCAGCAGATAGCAAAGCAATTATATCGCTGGACTCCCACATGGCTCACAGTGGTTCAAGACCCAGACCTGGTGAGTGGTCATGAGACTGAGTTGGCTGCGGGACGTGGTGGCCCCGGGCCACTGGAGAAGAGCTTTGTTTCTGTCAGCCAGCATGGCTTCCAAAAGGAGAACTTTGAGCTTTAGTGAACGGTATCAAAAATTAGTAGATGAGGGAACCAGCAGTTAGCGTAATGGCTATGTCGCTGGACTCCCACGTAGTCGACCACGGTTCACGTCCCGGACCTGGGGGCTTAAAACTCACGCTGGGTGCATGTGCATGCGTGCCTAAGATCCCGAGAGGAGAATGGAGGAGAAGGGATTGCGGCGTGACCATCCCCCCTGGGGGGTGATTTCTCGCTTTCTGTCTCTATGTCTCTCTCTGTCTGTCTAGTGAGCACACACGCCCTATAGCAGAAAAAAGTCTCCAAAAAAAGGAAAATAGTAGATGATAACTACCGCAAAAAAATTGCATTTCTAGGAGCTAAAAAAAATATACAGAGTCAAGTCAGGAACCAAATGGTGCAGAATGGAAATGATACCCATGGTGAACACAAGAGATTTCAGAATGAACAATTTGAGTTGGATATGGAAGAGGCCATTCAAAAGGCAGAAGAAAATAAGAGATTGAGGAAACTCCAGCTTGAACAAGAAGAAAAATTGGCTATGGAACTAGCAAAACTAAAACATGAAAGTCTAAAGGATGAAAAGATGAGACAACAAGTAAGAGAAAACAGTATCGAGCTCAGAGAATTAGAGAAAAAGTTAAAAGCAGCTTACATGAATAAAGAAAGGGCAGCTCAGATTGCTGAAAAGATGCCATTAAATATGAGCAAATGAAACGTGATGCTGAAATAGCCAAAACCATGATGGAAGAACAGGAGCGAGTAATAAAGGAAGAGAGTGCCGCCGAAGACAAACGGAACGAAGTGAAGGCACAAAACTATTTTGACTTAGAGAAACAAGTTGAAGAGCCAGAGAGAAAAAAGCAAGAAACTTATGAACAGTTGTTGAAAGAAAAACTCATGATTGATGAAATTGTTAGGAAAATCTATGAAGAAGATCAACTGTAAGTTTATCCCAGTGTTCTTACAGACTGAACATTTACTGTAGATTTCTTGTAGGTTTTTTGTGATGCGGTAAAGTTCCTAGAACAGTGCCTGATACATAGTAAGGGCTCAATGATGTTAGCTGTGACTCATAAATTCAGATCAAGTCTTCCTTATTTTCGTTAGCATGATAATTAGTAAATTAATAATCTGCTAATAAGTAAATGCCTACTAAGTGACTGAATGACCTAAACCTTTGTTTTTCTTAAATATGTCCATATCGTGTGTCAGAAAGCATGTTTCCTGATGAATTTCCCTGGTAAACAGCTTCAGTGTAGAGTGCTGCAGCGCCGTGCTGATTAGGTGGTAGCCTTCAGGAACTGCGTTGCCTAAAGCCTCATTAATAGGCTAACAGAAAGGCATGGTGGTATTTTATTCAGAGAAAGTTCATACGTGGTATATCGGTTACATGAATGAATGAACAAACTAAATGGGGAGGATAGTTATCAGAATGAAATTATTTTTATATTATTATTTCTATTACTATAAAATGGTACCCACTGTTGTTTTTCAGAGAAAAACAACACAAATTAGAAAAAATGAATGCCACTCGAAGGTATATAGAAGAGTTTCAGAAAGAGCAGGCTCTCTGGAGAAAGAAGAAACGTGAGGAGATGGAAGAAGAAAACAGAAAAATCATAGAATTTGCCCACATACAGCAGCAAAGAGAAGAAAATCGGATGGCAAAAATTCAAGAAAATGAAGAAAAAAGACGCCAGCTTCAGGATGCGCTGGCTCAGAAATTGGAAGAAATGCTGCGGCAACGTGACGATCTGGAACAAGTACGACAGGAATTATATCAGGAGGAACAAGCTGAGTTACACGCCAGAAAACTAAAAGTAAGTTTCAGAAATTGAAAGAATTATTAACAGAGAGAAGAATATAATTTTAGACAAAGCAGTAGAAAGACAGTACATAGACTTAAACCCAGCCATGGTGATATTTCCTCTATACATAAATGGTGTAAACATTACAGTTAAAAGACAGATTTTTAAAGCTAAAAATCTAGACCCAGAGCCAGCAGATGGTGTGGCGTGGTGCTTAAGATATTAGATTCCCACATGACTTACGATGGTTAGAATCCCAGATCCAGAAGCTTGAAAATCATGCCGTGCTTGTGTGTGTGTGTGTGTGCGCGCGCGCACACACACAGTCCCGAGAGGAGAATGGAGAAGGGACTGTGATCAGGCCGTCCCCCCCGGGGGTGGCGAGTGCACACACCCTAAGGCAAAAATTTCTTAAAATCAAAGAGATCAGAAAAAGTAGAGTTTATAGTGTATCTCAAAAAAATTAGTAATGAGTAGTAGTTGGCCATTGCCTTATTTATGTGAAAATAGAAATATCACCTTTTAAAATAATTATTTATTTAATTCAATTTGGAATTATTTTTTAATTTGAGCACAGGAAGAGAAAGGAAAAGTGAGAAAGAAAGAAAGAAACTAAGTCTGGGACTCAAGCCATGGTCAGTCATGTGGGAGTCCAGGGCCTCAACCACCGTGCCACCTGCCAGCCTATTGTCTCACCATTTTTTGTATGCCATAATTTAATTGATCTTCTACACCAGAACTCATATCATGAGTGCCTGACTGTATTTTTTCTTGTACAGTCCTGTTTTAAGTAAGGCTGACTTGTGGTTAGATGAGTATTGTTGGGTTTTAACATTTTGATAGTAATTTCAGTCTACTAAATTTTGTCACTGTTTGCCCTTTCTAAAGCTATAATTGGTAATTCATTAGTAATGTTCTTCATCTTTCTGCAAAGATAATGAATGCCATGTCATAAGCTACAATAGACTGTTTTTTTCTTAGGCTTATATGTACCTGGTTATATGAATATATAAATACTGGGGAAATTCTTTCACTTCTCAAAACCAAGCAGACTCATCTGTGTTTTATTTTGTGTTCATTGACCCATTAAAGGCAAGGACTGAATATAAGGTAATGATGTCTAATTTATATTTTTAGTCTTAACTATGTCAATCTAATTAGAATTCCCTGTATCTGAAACTCTACCTTTTACTCATTGAAAGACATTTTAGTATGGTTTGTGTATACTATCAAATAAAGAATATGTAATATTTTATAAATGATTTGTAAGGTCAGAATCTTTTGAAAGTCAGTTAAATTTTAACTTTGAATTATTTTAAAAATCATTATCTATTTAGTTTTACTTATTATTATTATTTTAATTTGATAGTATACACAAAAATACAGAGAGAGAGAAGAAGAGTGAGAAAGCAATCCACCAGGCCTGTGACTTGAACCATGGTCAACCATATGTGAGTTTAGCACCTTAACTACCATGCCACCTCCCAGCCCCTGAATTCTTTATTTCCTAATTAAGAATAAGTTCTGCTTTATGATTATTTTTAGGCAACTGTATAAAACCACATAAAAACTAAAATAACTGTGTATGTGTGGTTCATAGTGTGCTTTTGCCAACCTATTAGAAGGATTAAAGGAGATACACCATCAAAACAGATTTGTAAATTATGTCATCATAAGAGTTAAGATAATTAATAACCAAATGGTAGACAAGAGGCAAATAAAAAGAAAAAGGAAGAAAGAAAGAGAATATCTCAGGAGCCATGTCTAAACCCAAGAGACCAGGACAGTCCAGAGATAGCATTCTAGGACTTTTTCTGCCAAAGAATGCTCCAGCCTCCAAAGGATACTTAGGTATTTGTGAGTTCCACTCAAAGATTTGAACACTTGCAGGATCATGTCCAGCCCAGGCATTCTACCCAAACCTCCCTGGCCTCCCAGGCCTCCGAGGCCTTTGCTGATCTTCAGGTGGAGGACAGTCCCACTCCTCCACATCCATGGCAGGAAGAGGAACTGTATCATGCTCAAGGAACCCTTGGGGAATTACCTGGGCAGTCTTTGATAACAGGTACTATTCCAAACTATCTAATTAAAATGTAAATAGTCAGGTTTTATTTTAGTTTTAGTTTTTGCTACAGGGGCCATGCACTTGCCACTGGAGAGAGACAAAGAGAGAGAAAAGAGAGAGAGAGAGAGAGAGAGAGAGAGAGAGAGAGAGAAAGCACAATTCCTTCTCCCCAATTTTCTTCCAGATTTTGGGTAGATATGAACACATGCCCAGAGTGTTTTCTTAGCCATCCACCCAGGGACTTGAACTACACAGTTGACCTTGAGGAATTCAGCACCTTCAGCACACCACCTGCTGGCCCAGCATTGATTATTTTTAAAAAATTACTTCAAAGAGGTCAGCAAGTAGCATTGTCGATAAGCTGCTGTCCTTCCACATGGCTAACCATGGTTCAAGTCATGAACTGGTGGCTTGAATATCACACTGGGCGTGTGTGTGTGTGTGTGTGTCCAAAACCCTGAGAAGAAAATAGAAGAGGAACAATTGTGGCACGGTTAGCACCACTTTGGGGGTGATTTCTCAGTTTCCTTCTCTCTGTTTCTATCTTTTTGGTGAACATATGACAACCCCACTCTCCTTAAGGAAAAAAAAAAAACAAACCTGTTTCAAAATTGATTCTTATCTTTTTCTTTCTTTTTTTTTTTTTTTGGAGAGGTTTTTGCTCTAGGGTGCATGCACTCGCCAGACAGACAGAGAGAGACAGAGAGACAGAAAGCAGGAAATCACCCCCCAGGGAGGATGGCCACGCCGCAATCCCTTCTCTTCCATTCTCCTCTCGGGATCTTGGGCATGCACGCACATGCGCCCGGCCTGAGTTTAAGTCACCGGGTCCGGGACTAGAACCGCGGTCAACTACGTGGGAGTCCAGCGACATAGCCATGACGCTAACTGCTGGTCCCTCAAAATTGATTCTTCATGAGTGAAAGAGACAAAATGAGAGAAAGAGATCTATAGACAGAAAAACAGGCACTTCCAAAAGAGTCTCAACACATTATCTACCCCAGTCTCAGCCAGTCCAAGCTTATGGGTAAAAGTATGCCCAGGACACTCAGGGAGGTCACCTGAGGTGAATTCTAATCCTTTTCGTGTGGGTTAAATTGCAGTGTGTCAAGTTTTATCAGGTAATCATCATCCAGTGCCACATTTATTATTTTTTAGTTTTGATTTATATTTCATATGTAAGTAGTGATATTGATAATTTTCCCACATACTTCACTATTGTATGTCTGCAGAAATGCTTATTCATGTCTTGGTTTAATTTTGTAATTAGGACTATTTTTTTTCTTACTGCTGTTGGATTTACTGAGTTTCTCATACTATGAATATTAATCCTTTATTAGATTAATACATTGAAAATATCTTTACCCTCTACTATAAGATGTTTCTTCACTGTGTTATTTACTGAGCAGAATCATTTCAGTTTGCTAAAATATCAGTTGTCTAGTTATGCTTTTATTGCCTCTGATTTTCAGGTCTTCAACAAATCTATGCTCAGTCCAATATCTGAGGCATTTTCCCTATTTTTTCTCTTTTTTTTTTGGGGGGGGGACTTAGTTGATTTTTTTAGCTTTTTTTTTTTTACATTTCAGAACATCACACAATTACATTTTCTTATTTCCTGACCTGCAAACAGATACCATAAGTGGTATTTTTTTAAATTATCAAATTAGATACATCCAAAATATAACAATTATACATATAACAATTACATCATAAAGTGTAATTAACTAAGAATTTAGGAATAGCCAGTCAGGAGAAATCTGGCCAATTTTAGCAATCAGCTATTAAACATCTCAAAACCAATCCTATCTAAACTCCCAAACCAGAAGCTTGAAAGTATTTCTTAAATTGCATTGGATAAGAGAATGATGACTCAAACCTATCCATCTTGACAGTTTTAATCCCAAATACTGAGTTAGTTCCCCAGTTTGTAACTTAATAGCAAGTCTCTCAGTTTATCAAACAATTAAATATCAAACTTTTACACCATTAAGCTCAGAGAAAGCTAAGTGTTCATTAATTTAAAAACAAAGTCATTAAATATCCACATTATTCTCCCACATCAACAGCCCTAACTATAATTCCAAATATCCAACCTGTGTCACATAGTGACAGATTATATTTGTATTTGTGTGTGTGTGTGTGTGCATATGTGCACACACACCTGTGTATATACACATACATTATTAGGTACAAATGGCAATTAACGGTCCCTGCAAAAATTCAATTTCAGTTGAGGCTATGGCTTCTATGCCTTGGGATGGTCTTAGACTTTGAAACTGAAAAATAATGCTAAACTCTCTCACTTCCTTAAAACAAAGCTTGATTCTATTTTCAGGTTAAGCCTCTTAGTATAAAAATGGCTATAAGGAATGTATTAAAAAGCCAGCCAACTGAGTTCAACTTCTCTCTCCATTGTGGCCAAGCTATTCTGTAGACATTACTCCTAACTGGACTAGAAAACCTGTGGTGCCTTCCCATGGTTCTCACCTGCCTTACTGTCCATGTTCATGTTTCAAATTGTGTCAACAAAGCCTGCACTTCAGGGGTCAGCTGTCTGGCAGCCTTGACTGCCTCTGTGATAGCCTTGTGATATAGGCCCTTTCTCTTCTTTTTAAAGCAGAACTGGAAGTTTTCTAGGAAGGGGGGAAATTACAAAAGAGCAAGGAAAGATATTGTTGGAGACCGGAACCATAAAATACAAGCTTCCTGTCGGACTAAAAGCCCATCATCTTTCTGGCTCACAGTTATAGTAAGAATACGGGCTGGCCACCAAGGGAAGCCATATACTTGGCCCAAACAATGTCCCCTATACATATGATCCTGCCATCTGGCGTGATGCATTTAGACACGTTTTTGGAAAAGGGTTTCATTTTCAAGGAATTACTGAGCTTTTTCTCTTCCTTTGTGGAGGAGGTGGGAGGTACATGCATACTGCCTGGAGGAAAATCAAAGCTTTCAGAAGAGCTACACTCAGAGTTGGAAGATTTCAAATCATCTGTGATATCAATGCTACACACTGAAGCACTGGAAGAGTCAGATTTCTTTTGATCTAGGGTCATGTAAACAGAGATATTGCTTTTGCTGCCCTTTTTGCCCAATGTCTGTGGTTCATCCTGCTCA